TGATGTATGAAAGCCTTATCTTGAGGATACTCATGAGCAAACATTCAAGATGACTTCGGTACCGATTCACACGACCAATGGAGAGAATGGCGTAAAGCCGTCAGGGAAGAAGCAAATTTTGCTCAATGCATTCGACATGTCTACCGTAGGGCACTTGTCTCCGGGACAATGGAAGGTTGGTTGTCTCTTTCAGATTTTTTCGAATGGATGATATACTAAACCTTGTTACTTTCAGAACCCCGTTGACAAGTCAGCAACCAAGCGCGACTTGAATTATTGGATCGACCTCGCGAAGCTCTTGGAACGAGGTGGCATCAATGCCCTCTTCCTCGCCGACACCTATGGAGGTTACGACACCTACGAAGGAAGCCTTGACAACTGCATTCGCCGAGCGGCCCAATGGCCAATGACAGATCCTACTATTGTGAGAGAACGTGTTGGTAACAAGAGCTGGACAGCCGCTTACACTGGGAACACAGCCGATCAGTGCCATGGCGGCGGTCACAAAGAACCTTACATTTGCCATTACCGCATCCACATCCTTCGAGCCGCCTTTCCTTCTCGCCAAGCGATTCTCAACGCTCGACCATTTTACAAGGGGCCGCATTGGCTGGAATATTGTCACTTCCTGGAAGAAGGCAGCATTCAAGGCTATTGGCTTGGACAGCCCGATTCCCCATGATGAGCGGTACGCTCAGGCAGACGAGTACCTCCGAGTTCTTTACAAGTAAGTTCGTCTTTTGTGGAGAATACCTTCGTAAAATCATCCTGAACCAACATGGTTGAAAATACTGATGATTCACAAGACTTTGGGAAGGCTCGTGGGCAGATGACGCGATTACCCCTGATCCGGAGAACGACACTTACGCCGACCCCGACAAGATCAGGACCATCCATCACCACGGAAAGTTCTTCGACCTCGACACGCGCCACATCGTCGACCCTTCCCCCCAAAGAACCCCCTTCCTTTTCCAAGCAGGAACATCAGCGGCTGGGTCAGAATTTGCGGCAACTCATGCCGAGGGAATTTTCGTCTCTTCGCATTCACCTAAGCTCCTGCGCCCAAAGGTCAAGGAAATCAGGGAAAAGGCCGCGGCGCTCGGAAGAGACCCTCAATCTGTCAAGTTCTTCGCCACTTTCACTCCAATCGTAGGACGGACCGACGAAGAGGCCCACGCTAAGCACGAGGAACTCAAGAAGTATGCTTCCGTCATTGGTGGCTTGGTCCTCGTCAGCGGTTGGACGGGCATCGATCTATCCAAGATCCCCGTCGACCAAGAGGTGACTGCCGCAGACTCTCTAGAGGCGCACAAGGTGCGTAGTATCCTCGATGCTTTCACAACAACGAGTGAGCATGTCCCCAAGTGGACGCCGCGTGTCATTGCCGAGCGCGCGGCGATAGGTGGGCTCGGGCCGGTATCTGTAGGAAGCCCACAGAAGGTAGCGGATGACTTGGAGTACTGGATCCGTGAAGGTGATTTGGACGGTTTCAACTTGGGATATGTCACGACGCCTGGCACGTTTGAGGATGTTGTCGACCTCCTTATCCCAGAGCTTCGACGACGTGGGATCTACCCAGAAGCACCTGCCGACGACGTTGCCTTTACAGCCAGGGAGAAGGTCTATGGGCAAGGACAAAAGGGACTGAGAGCTGATCACCCTGGCTCGTCCTATAAGTATGATGTGTACAACGAAGAAGACGCAAGTTCAAAGCGTGAAGACTGAAGTGTCCATGTAGAATAGAGCGGAGATCAGCCCCCTCCCCCTCCGCCTTGGGCCGATCCTGGGTAGTAGACGTCAACTGTACTCAAAGATCATTCATTGTATGCCATGAGAGAACGTTTGTGTGAATTGACCCCCAGGCCGAAGCAGGCTCTTCTCCAGAAACTAAACACATGTTTGTGGCGTTAGTAGATGTCAATGTGGTTGTTCTACAGTTCAGCCAACCACAATGATGCCACACTGCAGTTGTGGTTGCTTGATAAGTACCCCGCACTCACTTGCTCGTCAGACAAGTCAAATACGAGTTCAAGAGACCACTCACTGCCTGACTAACTGATGCAAATCGTAAAGCTTGTGACTGTTGACATTCATTTGGAGTTGGGAACCGGGCAGGCTCGAAGAGCTTCACCTACTCACCATTCCATCTCGATCGTCAAACACGTGTCATCGACTGATGTTTCTCCACCGACGCGGGTTCATCTCCCCATTGTGATATTCACCACATTAGCATCGATGATCTGGACTCGCCCTACCAAGCCATGTCGTACACCTAGGGGGAAGTAAGGTTTTCAGGCACGCTTTAAGTCAAGAAAGAGGCAGCTACAATCAGAATCACTCAGAGTCTTTCTGTTACACTAAGTTGATCTCGTCTGTCGACAACTGCAAGAATGCTCTAGGCCGACACGGTCTGCATCAATCAAGCGGATGAAAACGAAAAGGCCATCAAATTTCCCTTCTCAGTCTTTATTTGGTTGGCATAGAGTAATGTGTAACTTTATCACCTAGCAGCGGAACCGATCCAAGCGACTCGGAAACCCGAGTTTTGCGAACAACAAATCTGCTCCTTTCCACAAAAGATAAAGAGGGCCTTCCTTTCTTTCCTAAGCGCAGCCCACGAGATAGTGAAAACACTTTCTGAAGAGACTGGACATTCAAAAAAAGACTTGCTATGACCGCGGCAGGGTTCGAACCTGCGACCTTCTCGGATCAAGCTCACTTTGTTGTGAACGAGAAATCATGACCACTAGAACACACAGCCGGTGATGTTGAATTTTGAAGCCTTTGCATTTGCCAAAGTGGACTGCATCGTGGTGCTGGCAGCGTGCAGGAGTTAAGCGAGATGAGTATGGGGTTGTCGGCACTTTGATGTTACGTGCTAGTCCCAATGGCTCGAGCTAGAACAACAAACGAAGCCTTCAATCTTCCATGTCCAAACATCGTGTTCCTGTCCGCGGCCGCCGTGTTATCCCTCACGCACATGGCCGAGTTGAGAACGTGCAAAACTGCGGGTGCATTGTATACCGGAAGGGGAGTTGACATTGAGTTAAACCGCTTAATACTTACCGTTTCTATTATTCGCATCCTACCTTAGAGAAACGTCGAAGGGAATATCGGCGCAGCGGACGGGACGGCACTTTAGCGCTACCCACTCGCCAGCCCTTCGCTAAACCCCTTTATTTCTCCAGTTGGAGGCTCTAGTCCTTTTGGTGCCGAGGCGGCTCACGGAATTCCCACCAGTCAACTCTGCCTTGCTACGAGGCGGGAACCTCTGCGGATGTGGTGTGTCACATCAACAAGCGGCATTCTCGGATACGAAAGACGACTGCCCAGCATGGCCCGATAGCGGTGATGGGTGTTTCTGAGGTGGCTAGTGGTGCCCTTGTCTTGTTCTGTGGATGCTCTCATGTCGGCAGCTGGCCCCCTTTGCCGTTTGTGGCTGCCCTGAACCGGGGGGTTGCTGCCCGCTGCGTGCCACCCTGGGCGAGCGATCTGAATCCTGGGAATCTGGGGAGAGCACCGCTGAGTCGGGCTCGGCCTCATCTTGGGTCGACTACATCTTGGCGCGGCGCTTTTTAACGAATCCAAGTACTCATGACATATGACAGTGCATATCCAATTACACATGAAAAGTTAGTTGCGATTGACGAAGAATTGTGAGGGAAGCAATATTGCACGATAGTACGAGGAGCTTACGCAGAGGAGACGTCCGACGAGTTCCTCGGGAAAGGACAGAAGAACGCTGATTAAAGTCTTTGCGCTCCCCATGCGAAACAATCTGTCAAATGTGTCACTCTGACGCAATGTTCTCTTCCATCACTAAAATAGGGCCTTCAATGCCGTGAGACAAAAGCAATGCGTCTGCCGCATTTTACATAAAGTGATACCGCAGGTGGCTATGTCTATCCAGCACACGGGGGCGGCTTCACATATATACTATGGTGGAGTTGCCGGTCAAGGAAGACGGCTATAACGGCTGCATTTTATGCTTAGGGAGCACGGATGTGATTGCGGAAGAGCGCCCATGTGGTGAAAAGAACCGTAAATGACGGCAGCAATCAATCATTGACCAGGCCGAGCCTCGGAATGGCCCGAGGGACCACGGAGGCCACTGCGTTGTCAATATTTCCAAATGCCCATGGACTGGGAATCAATCGATTTCGGCTTTCCAATATTCTAATTGAGGCCATGATCGATGGTGAACCTAAACCGGCGAACACGAGTCAAAATTTCATTTCCAACACTCGCTGGCCTTCTGCTTTGGGGTTACGGATATTGAGCCAGGGATAAGGGGCCTTTCACAAGTTCTCCTTTTAGCCTCTACCGGCCACACCTCCCTGAACCATACAATCTATTTACCTGAAGGCAAAAGGTGACGAGCAGATTAAACCTGCCCACATGGCCCATTGGTGGAGTCATTTCTTGGAGCACCTCGTGGCCGCAGCGTTTACGCGCTTGGTTGCTTCGGTAGACCAAGTGATCAAGTTGAAACCGCCCCTGATTGTCCACCGTAACCACCCCCTCCGGTGGACACCCACTTGGCCGCAACAAGCTTTCCGTCCGATGCTTAGCTCCGGCATCCCGGTCGTGTAGCCACGGCCGCGGGCGAAGGACCTCACCCGACGTGCTGTGTTCTGGGCCGCACACTAACGTTCCATTCGGCATTCTACGCCGTAATTGGAGGGACTTATTTGTTTTCTGGAAAGAAAAAAAAGTCTCTCCAGCGGTTGACGTAGAATCATGTTGTAGGTATATCAAAGGACCACCCGCCCGCCTGGGAACCTATTCTTGGCAGCCCTACAGTTCATCCCAACAACTTACATTCTCTTATTGTCCATTGCCTTTGCCGTTACCACTCGTTCATTCCAGTCATTCTTTCAGAGCTGAAGCTAGTCCGAATTTCCACCATGCAGTTCACCTCCTACCTCGTCTCGGCCATGCTGGCCGTCACGGCCGTGGCCTCCCCCACGCCCGTCAGCATCGACAAGCGCGCCACCAAGATGTGCGACTCCTTCGGCTCTGTCGCCACCGGCGGCTTCACCATCTACCACAACAACTGGGGTGCGGCTCAGGCCACCTCCGGCAGCCAGTGCACCACCTTCACATCTCTCAAGTCCGGCTCCGTCGCTTGGTCGACCTCCTGGACCTGGGCTGGTGGTCAGGGACAGGTCAAGTCCTACTCCAACGTTGCCCTCGAGAAGGTCAACAAGCAGCTCTCTGCTGTCAAGTCCATTCCCTCCAAGTGGACCTGGAGGTTGGTCACTACCATTCCCCATGAACCAGTCCAGACAATTTGCTAACGCTTCTGACAACAGCTACACCGGCTCTAACATCGTTGCTGATGTCGCCTACGACCTCTGGCTCGCCCCCTCCGTTGGTGCCAACAACAAGTACGAGATCATGATCTGGCTCGGCGCCCTCGGCGGTGCTGGCCCCATCTCCAGCACTGGCAAGACCATCGACACCCCCACCATTGCCGGCACCAAGTGGTCCCTCTACTCTGGTACGTAAAGTAGTCCACGATACAATCAACAACATTCATCTAACCCGACTTCCTAGGCCCCAACGGTGACACCACTGTCTACTCCTTCGTCGCCCCCAGCCAGATCAAGAGCTTCAACGGCGATCTGAACCTCTTCTTCACCTACCTCACCTCCAAGCAGGGCGTTGCCAAGACCAACGTCATCACCAGCCTCCAGGGCGGTACCGAGCCCTTCTCCGGCACCAACGCCGTCTTCACGACGTCCGCCTACACCCTCACCGTCCAGTAAATGCTTGTTACAGCTATGCTGAACAACGCTGTGCGGATCTTATACCCAACCTGAACTGTGTTCAGGTTCACATTTTCGACACGTATATATTGTCGCACTTTGTACATACACGTAATTATCATCAAGAATACCAAACCGGTTTCATGACAGAGCTTTGAATACTCTTCCCATTGCCTATGAATGAGTGATTCGGCAATGTCCTGGCGCACATTTAAAGTTGATGTTTAAGTAGAGTTGAATTATGCACGCTTGCTTGCGCATTTGTCTATGTGGAAATTGAGCAGTGAGGCTCTCTGTAAACGCTGTCAATCATGGTGGTTCAGTATTCGTGACTTCCGCCGCACATGATCATACCCATGGTTTCATCTTCATTGCATGTGATATCCAAGCGATCATCGTCATGTCGCTTGCCCGTTTTGCCCCAAGTCCAATGAGTCCCAGTTGAATTGATCGATGTTGATGCCTCGCATGTCTGGTACATTAATATTCGAATACAGACCGCTGTCTGTGGGAGGAAATCCGCCCTGGTCATAAGTGAGACTCTGGCTGACAATGTCCATCGGAAAAGATGCACTAAAGTCGTAGGAGTTCATGTTCATAACTTCGGCCTTTGGCCCGATATCGGAAGACTGTGGACTCAGAGCCGGCGTCACCTCTACCAGCTTTTCTTGTACTTTGCCTACAATTCTCGGCGGGATTGCCGGCTGGCCTGATTCCCTGAGCGCCTTTGCCACCACCTCCCAGGTGCTGATAATGACCTCGGTGAATGGGACAAAGACAGGGTTATACCCCGGCTCGAGCTTCTCAAACCGAGCCTCAAAATGATCGCTCATGGCGTTCCAAATGTACTCCCCTTTGGGATCCAGGGGATTTAGTTTGAGGAACTGTGTGATGCGGATGTAGGCTGGGAACGGGTAGTAGATCTGGAGAAACCATCGAAATCTCTGGGTCAGGGGAGAGGCTGCCAGATTCGCATCGCACTGAAGCCACCTTAGAGCACTGGTCAACGTGATGCGGTGCTTCTCTTCGACTGGGCCTTCGTAGAAACTGTGAGACGTTTCCATCAGGCGAAACTTTGAAAGAGATGCTCGTGACATCCACATAGCCATGAAATGAGTTGGGTTCTCAAGGTCACAGTACCGGAAGTACTTGTCATCTACTGACTTCTCCAACCAGTCCACCTTGCCGCCTCCAGGTAGCTCCTTGGCGATAGGCTTCAAGATCGGGTTCGTCATATCGAGGTAGAAGGAGGTGTGCCGAGTAAAGTCGGCGAGTTCAGCCGTCACGACCGAGAAGAGCGCCTCGCTGACTTTCATCTCCGCCCTCGGCGGTTCCTTCATTTCCGCTCGGAGGTCAGAGTCGCTGACGTTCATCGGCACGGCGCAGTCCCATGTCGGGGTCAAATTGGTAGCCTTGTGCTCGGTCAAGCCGCTCATGCGGGCATCGAAGAGTACCAAGGACCACCAAAGCCTGCGGCGCATCTCGGCCTCTAGGATGGTACACCTGGTGTTAGCAGATTCGTGATGGAGACCGATGCGTTGGCCGATGCGAATGGCAACGCCGAGGAGCGATGATATTGATCGAATGTGAGCGCTGGGGCGGCTTGCATGCTGTGAAAAGTTAGCCAATGTGAAACTCATTGCTCGTTCATATCGTCGTAGACTCTCCACTGGTTAAGATACGTACGAGGTAGAGGAATAACGCAGTCAGGCAGTCAACGTCATTAGTTCTCAAGAACTGACTGTTTGAAAGAGCTTGCTGGCATCCAAACTGGTACTTGGTCAAGAGCAGGGCTTTCGGCTGCTTGAAAATATCGTAACATGCGTCATCAGAAAGACTTATGATGGCCATAGAGTAGATGCTGAACATGAGAGCCTCCAACGCCGGGCTGATGTTGTCTACGCTGCTCACAGCTTCAATGATGCGCGCTTGGAAGCTGGGGGCGTGCGTCACTCGAAGCAGTGCATTGACATTGTCAAGGTAAATCTGCCAGAGTCGAAAGATGTGGACGGGCTCGGGATGAAGGGTTGAGAGGTCGACGGACGACCGGTCTGGGGAGCCGAAGAGGATGTGGTCATCGCTATCGCAGGCTTGGTCCCACGTCTGCCTGATTGTCTCTCGCAAGCCAGCATGCGACTCCTCCAGCTGTATGATGTCAGTCATGGGAACAGAGAAGAAGTGAGTGCAAGTATAGTACCTCTGGGCTCACCAGATGCCAAAAGTTCCTGCGCACAGTTAGTGACACTGTAAATTCCACATCCGACTAGACTAAGTCCTGAGAAAAACCGTGTGTGGGAAAGGCTAAGTCGGTATCGTAGGTAAGTGACTCACTTGGGCTCATATGAGGTTTCAGATTTCACAGTGATTGACGGCGAGGGCATTCCCACGTCTTCGGATCGGTGCTCATCGTCCGACCCACCGCTATCATCCACAGATTTTCCATACCTGGCACCTAGGTCCCCATGAAGCGGTTCAAAATCGACCTTATTCTGTCGCAGTAGGCCCTCGTACTTCCTCAGGCGGTCGAGAAGCTCCCTCTCTGGGAACCGCCGCCTCCGGGGTCGGTTCTGCGTCGCAGGCACGCACTGTAACTGGTGTTTTGTGCAATGTGCACAGGGGAACTTGCGGTCGCACTTGATCTTGCGCTGCTGGCAGAGGACGCACGCGAGGACGCGTTGGGGTTTTGCTCGAGGAGCGGCGTCCGGGTTGGTGCTCGCCATTCCGGGAGCCGACATGGTTACAATGTCGAACGGGGTCTGCCAAGGCCGATGCCGTTGCAAGGGGAGCTGAGTAGGTTTCGGAGAGTTGCGATGACCGGCGGCCGATGATGTCGGGCGGAGGTGGGCAAGGTGGCTCGCTCCCAGGCACGGGTCAAGCTGACGACGGGATCTCAACTGTGGCTTTTTGGGCCATGGGCGCTCCGCACCACGGAGTAATCCGGACTTTAGAATATGCCGACTAACAATTTCGGGGGGAGTAAGCCCGGACAGAATCGATGGCGTAGCAAGGCGTGAGACACTGCTGGAAGCGAGGGGTCAATCAACTGGCGCGTTATTTCCGTTGGTACATGTAAGATTCTTGGTGTTGACGTTTTTTATTTTTTCTTTTCACGTCTACTTCAAGTTTATTGTAAGGTCGGAGCTGATTAAACGTTATCTAACAACGTCAGGACGAAGAGAAGAATGAAGGGACTATATAATAAGAAACGATCGGAATCAAGGTGTATCGGGGTATTTGATGTTTCCATGCAGAAATGTGCCCTGCAGCCCATCTTCTTTTCCTCCGGTGCCTGTTGTGATTCAGAAGTCGTTCTCTTGAAAAGCTTTCACCAAGGCAGCTGGTCCAGTCTCATGCGACATCAGATTTCCGAGCTGTATGCCGTCTTCGATATGAGCTTTGCCCCGAACCAATAGATCTTCCTCATACTCCCGAACCGCCTTGTCGAGGTCGTTGAGGCCATGGGTCTCAATACACTTAGCCAGCTCCATCGCATCCCACATAGCACAGTTGACGCCTTCGCCGTTGGGAAGTGCCAAGTGGGCTGCATCACCAGCCAGAGCCAGACCTGGCACCGTCGTCCAATTTTGACTTTCAATAGGGAGGTGATATAACGGCCAACTGCGGAAGTGGTCGGCGTATCGGACGTAGTCCTTCGCTTCCTCCCCCCAGTCGTCGTAGAAGTCGGATAGCAGTGACTTTCGCAAAGCCTCAACGCTTGCTGAGTCGAGCTCTCTGCCAACATAGTGCTCAGGAGCTTGTATCCCGAAGTACACCCTGTACCATCCGTTGCCTTGTCTTTGTACAATCATCTGGTTGGCTCCTGCCAGCAAAGACGCAGTTCCATGCCCGAACTTGTCAAGAACTGACTTGAACAGCGGATTTTCCTCCGTAATTTGGGCTTCTAGGTATGTTCTACCAGAGTACTGGGGTTTTACTTGCGTAATCTGAATCTAGTCAGTCACCGAGCAATGGTAACGGGTCAATCATGTCATACCATTGAGCGAACTTTACTCCAAGCACCGTCGGTGCCAACCACAAGCTTGAACCCTTCAATAGTCGCACCTGAGGTGAACTCAAGGGCTGGTAAGCCAGCCTGATGCATTTTGACAGCTTTCAGAGTGCTCCCCCATCGGATCTTCTCTTTCGGTACGGAGTCTAGAAGTATTTGCCGCAGTGTTTTGCGGTCTATTTCGGGTCGACCTGCTTCGTCAACACCACCATTGCTTTTGACGTCGAGATGTTGTTTTCCAAATTTGTCGTATATTGTGAATCTGTCGTCATCCCATCTCGCTTCCTTACGAAACGCATCCCACAGGTCCGCTTTCCGAAGCGCTGCTTGACCAGTGGCTTCATGAATATCCAACGAGCCACCGGCGTTAGCTGATGTAGCGCTCTCGTCTCGTTCGTAGACTACATAGTCGACCTTTTGACGCTCGAGTAGTCGAGCGAGTGTGAGGCCGCATGGTCCAGCACCAATGATGGCGATTGGGGCTGTCTTCGTCGATATAGAAGCTTTGAAAACTTTGCTCGCCATTGTGCTAAGTTGGGGTGTTGTGTGGTCGGAGTGCAGCGCTTTGGAGTTGAGATCAGCTCCATGTAATGATGATGAAGTGGTTTCCAGATCCTTTTGTATCTACTTCAAGCTTGCAATGGGAATGCTGAGCCCTTGACCAAATTACCATTCGGAAGCGGCACGCAAGCGCCACGGGCTTTTTAGCAGTTCACTTGCACGTACTAGGCCGATTCCGGGGAGTTCCAGCCCCCGAATCGTGGTACTACGGAGAGTACTAGACGCCGTCTTTGGAGTCCGTGAACAACTCTTTGTAGCGCCATAATCGAAATGATACCGCTGAGTGATGGTTGATGTCGTCAAGCAGAAGCCTCGCGCAGGAGCCCCTGTCCTGGATTGAATACATACAAACGCACTTTTAGCTGTCCCTCATTAATATAGACATAAATGCTCGGATTCTATGATATTCCAGTCAACTTCTCCGAGATGCTTGGTAGAGTAACGGAGGGCGGTATTGGTGAAAGACTAATCTTGCAGTAAAGGCTCAACTTTTGATACTAGGTTAAACGGTGTACTCTTTCCTAGAGCACATTCTGCCATTGCCGCGAGCCAATGAAGGCAGCCGGTCCTACAACAGCCTAATCCCGAAAGGAATTTCCAAGGTCTTACCAGATACGAATACTCAATCTTGCCATCCGGTCTCTTGACGCCGTTCTCTCATTCGTTGGACGCAATCTGAACTCAAAGGTATATCCATCGCGTCGATTGTCTTCTTCATAGCTTCCGAAATCTGCTCTGCGGGGTTGCATTCCGGGTGCTTTTCGTAGCAAGTCACATATGATAACACCCTCTTGAGAGACTTGAGTAAGTCCATGACGCTCTCGTCGGCTCTGATGGTTACTTCCGTCGCTCTCGTCCCTCGAACATAGATAAGGCCAGCGAGCACACTTCCGAGCACGACATAGTCGCACTTCTTGTTCCGTGTTACAGGAATTCCGGAAATGCCAGCGCAGAGCCATTTTCCGTCTATCAATCTATCGATAACCCCATTCAGGTGTGAAGGTAGCTCTGTGGCGAGTTGATTACGCAAGGAACGAATGGTTTCTGGGAGGTCATTAGTGTGAGTTCTCAGTGAATATGAGGAGTAACCTTACCTGGTATTGTCGGTGAGCCGAGGGAGTCATAAAAATAGTCTTCCGGGCGTGTCCCGTCCGGCATGACAATGTGACCTTGATCATCGATGATAGAAGTGAGACTGATACTGATGATAGTCCTTGCAAACAGTTTCTCATCGCCCAATGCCCAAGCCATGCACGAAAGCATTGCCAGATCCCGGCCATCCCTAGTGCCCTCGGATGTCTTCGTCACCCCGTACCACTTCGCAATCCACGGATGCAAAACATGCTCCATCTCATACAAGCTGGCCAGACAAAGAGTGTGGTAAACCTCGATGAGAGTGGGATCTTTTGGTACAAGTGCGAATTTCGCATGGATTATGTTCAGCAGGATCATCAATCCGTCTGACTTGTCATGCTGACAAGCATACAGCGAAGGAGTCCATCCGCACCACCCCTCGTCGGTCGGCTGCGTCCCCGAGGATGTTTCTAAGAGTGTGCGTCTCCAGAACGGCGATGCTCGCCGTAAAGTGTTTGAGCAAATGCGAAATGATTTGGTGCTGCCGGAGGATGGATCGGAGCCGATGTGCAGCAGCAGATCCCCTGTTGAATCTATTTGGATCTCGTCTTCATCTGTGAATGCGTCTTCTGGCGGTGTTTGAATCCATTCGCTATCCATGTCACTGTCGTATGCGTCTATCGCAGCAGCAGCTGGCCGAAGGGTCAAGTTCTTGAATTCCATGTTGTCACTGTTCTGTTCAATTGTGAGTAAGAGAAATGAATCCTACTGAGCAGAATAGAGATTGGTGGTGAATAACATAGGCGAGACGCGTAGTGATGTCGTCCAAGCCCAGTGCAGCACCGCCCACCGGGCCATCCTCAGCACGGAGGTCACGGGGCATCTTGGGATGTCATGTCGCGTTACATGGTAAAGTTCTGTGGTTCCGTTAAACTCTGTTAGAAACGCAGACAATTGAGAGGCAGCTGAGGGGAAGGGAAACGCACGGAAGTGCCAGTTTTACGTAATGATACACGCTCAGCAACGGACAGACTGAGCTGATAGGTTAGCGACGCTTGGCATCTCGTACATGAAAACAACCAAAAGCTACCAAAAGCAAGGTTGGGAGGGCTAATTTGGTCTTTCTTTCACGTTGGTCAAAACCGTTTCGCGGGGAAGGACCCGGGCTCCGGAGGTCAGGCGGGATGGTCCGTCTGGGCTTGGCCTTGTTCTGGAGTGAGGCCAAAGCTTCTCCCGCACTTCAAGTTGAGACTGATCGTGCGAAGAATGACGATGTCTGGGTACATGACTAATCCCACCTGATTCATGAAAGTCCGACTTGGAAATAGCACCTGGAAATATTTGGTATGAACGGCAGAGACTCATATCTAGAACGGAGATATGAACCTTCGCAAGCCCTCCTTCGTTGCGCGTGGGTTCAGAATTGCACAACAGAATTCATGATCAATTTCCGATTCAGCTTCCGGCGTCCGTAGTCAGATCTTTTTCAACCTCCCATGTACGTCTTCAAATTTGCTACCATCATCAGGTAATTCAAGAAGTCATTGATTGCTCGAGAATAGCCTGGTGCAGTTGCCTTAAGAGTAAGAAAGACGAGCATAAGACGGAAGAAATCTCGATAGTGGCCGGAAGAGCTCCCATCTCTGCCTGTCCAACCAAGCTTTGGCTTTCACACAATCTGTCTGACAGAACTGCATTGACAACATTGAAGACTCTGCATTGGCTTTTGTCATTGGACGGATAGGTGCAATCCAAAGTTGGAACATCAATGATAAGATAATTAAAAACATTTAGGCTTGTACTCCATTTTTCTTCGCCATTACACGCATTCGAAGTTTAAGTATTTCAGGGCCGCGTATGGGGCCAACAACGGTAAATAATACGCCCAACTAAGCATACCGTAGTAGTTGGGCCTAGCCTGGAATTACTGACGTTTAAAATAATGAAATCGTCAATACCATTTACATCATGAAGAAGGCTGCGTGTAGTGGGACAGGTGTGCCGTCTGCCGCACGCATCCTTAATTGCGTACGGGATCGCAAACCTTCACGTGAGTCTCGCCTGGAACACACCTACACCTCAAGATCCGAGACCTAAATCTTGACGTGTGGTATTTCCTTTTTCAGATCTTCAGATACTACTGGGTGAGATGGTTACCAATCAACTTCCGAAGAGTCCGACGCTCTTCATTTGAAGTCCTATTCAGGTGATGTGCATATTTGCGAACCTCAATACACCGAAAATGACCCACTTCAGGTCGTGGCACCAAATGGTGTGCCAGGCTTCAGTTCCTACATACTCAAGTGCAAACATGACCAGGTCAAAATGCAACTAATCGACAGTCAGAAACTTGTTGGCAGCTACCTTTCGCGGACAACGTCCGGCTCGTGTCGCACTGCCTAGCGGGAGGGCGGCATAGTTGCCACTGCTGCTGACATACGTGGACCAACCCCCCACAAGAAAGAGAGTCTAGTGTGACAGCTCTATAGGGACACAAAAGGTCACAAAAAAGCCACACGGCGAAGTTGGCAAACCATGGAACTAGGGTGAGCACTGGTGAGGCTTCCCCCTAAGGCCAGGTACATTGATTGGCCTACATGTAGCTGTCAAGAAAGTGCCCGAAGGGATTTAAAGCCAATGAAACACATCCATGTTGTGGTGGCTGCTAATCGAGGCCTTGGTGGACAGTTGGCTGACGTGAGACGGCGAACGGCAACCTCGTTCACGGTGTTATACCTAGTTTATTCTCATCCTTACACCGTAGCGATTTAACTCAGCAGCCATCGCTCCGATCTGCTCGATGTTGCTCTTATACCATGAATTTAGCATGCGTGTAAGGAGCTACGTGCAATCAGCTAACCTTACTCTCATGACTATCCAAGACAAAATGCGATAGCGAAGATGGAAGAATTGGGCGGTATTTTCCCGCTCCCTGCGGTTGGGGGGACATTTCAGGATAGCGTGAGGTGAGTATGGTCACGCTAAGAGCGCGTGAGCTCTAGCACCTTCGCATTTTACTGACATATTCTTTCTACCCACGCAGATACCTTCTCATCCACAAATCAGGCTCATGCGCTATGCCAGAAAGCGAGTGCGGCATACCGACATGGAATGAAGATCCGAGTCAGCATACAAATGTCTTTAGGTATTTGTGCGACAATTCCGGTCCCAATTCTCAAGCTCTTAGATTGCTAAAGGCTCTGATGCAGACTGTGGTAAGAATCTACATCTTCTTCTGATTTCTTTTGGTTTTTCCGTTCGTAGGTCGGTGAGTATAGGTAGTTGTTTGTGCCGTGTTATGTGCTAAGTATGGAAAGAAAAGAAAGAATGCTAAAACAATTGGCAGAATCAAGACCCAGCAAGCTACTTTGTTGTGTTTACGACTACATATGGAGGCTTGATATTTGCAAAGGTAGGGCGCGGTTTATTACTCCTAACTCTGTCTCATGTTTTTCAATTGATTGACATTGATTGGTAGGCCCTCCTGCTGGCATCGTCTTGTACGACTCCTAACTCGTCAGGGCCTTGTTTGCATTACCACACCATCCTTAAACATATACGGGCTGTGTTCCATATTAAACAATTGGAGAGTAGCTCTCGAGCTGTCATATACGATTTTGGTCGTCAATACCTTGCTTCCATCTTCAAGCACCGTACGCAGGTTGGGTGCAAAGTCGCTCGGATACCCGCAGAGAGAAATGAGCAAGTCCATGAGTCGATACTGCATTTACTTAGCAATGGGGCAGCCGACAGCATCATCGTGGGTTTCAAGACAGTATCAATTGACAATGGCAGAGAATATGAGCCTGAAGGATGTTTGCAGACCGTCACAATACCTTCGAATGCATTCCAGACTACCCAGGAGCTTGATGCTGACATCCTGGTGAGTATTCGACTTTGAGAATTAGATCAGGACTCGGGCACCCAAAGTAAAAGTGCCTGCCCTTAACAGGGTATCTGAGCAACCCTCTATTCTTCGGAATCCAATCCTGATGGAGTACCCCGGCACCAATCAAGCAATTGAACATCGCTCCTAGCTAACGACGTCCGGCAGAAATTGATATCGGTCCCAGTTTTCAGAGCGCAGTCTAAACGTGATTGTGACGCTGAAACCAGCACGCTCTACGACATTGTGCGCCAGATATCTGCTATTTCGAAGCCAGAAGTGGCGCCTGTACTCCCATCCGGAGGCACGAACATCCCTCGTTCAACCTCAAAGTCGACTGACAGGCAAGACGATGGATATCAGAAAAGCTCATCACCTGAGTTGAGGTCTATACTTCCGATGCCCTGGAACCTACTATTTGGCGGAGGTCCCATCTGCGCCTCACGTCAGTCAACAGAAGGACGACAAGTCTTCAGTGCCGACTTTGTGAGCGACAGCGATTTTGAGTCTACCTCAAATCATCTGCAATGGCCAGCAACTGCAGAGTTCAACCTTCCACTGAAAGAAATAACAGCAGCAACAACGTCAACAACGCAACCACCGACACCACCATCCCCAAGATCCCCGCCAATCGATTGGGACCAACCCTTTCCTCCAGAGCCCCCAGACAGAGGGGATGAGGAAGGAAGCGACACAGGGTCCGCAAGCCCACACGTTCGCTGGCTACCATCTCATTGGCTTCCCTTCTACCCTTGTCCGAAACCAGCTACACCTACACCGGTTGTGGTACACAATTATGCTGGCAACACGAAACTAAGAGATATAATGGGAGCCGGCGTGATCGGAGCGCTAGCTGGCCGTCATTTGGACGCGACATCGAGCTCAGTACCAGGACATGTCGTCGATACTATAGACTCATTACAAACCATAACGTACGGGAATTCTGGCCATTACCACGGTCCAGAGGCTACAATATACAATGCCAGTCCGATGGCATTGGCATACAAAGGTGACCCTTCAGAGCCTTTTGTACCACTTGAGGCTTCTGCAATTGTTGGTTCGGGACCCATCCCTGCCACGCACCAGAATGAAGAATATGGTGAGACTGCTGCTTCGCAACATTACAGGACACCAGATGTTCAAGATAACAGGGAAGACTTTGGTCTGGAACTGGATCTCATTCAAAACCCGGGGGCAAGTCACGACGAAGACGAGTCTTTGAGTGATTGCGGATCGCTAGAGGTTGATGCTTCTGAGAATGTTGATTCAGAAGCCACAACATTGCCGTGTCATGTGCGCGGCTGTCAGCAGCCCGGGCATCGCTTTGTGGCGACCGGGTTCCCATGCAGTGAGCCAGAGGGCTGCCATCGGCCAGCACCGCAATATGAATAGATTATTCAGGTTTCATCTAATTCAGGCGAGCATATATCCTCTTCGATCAGAAAAAGCCACTTTTTTAACCGACGAGTCACTCTATAGGTCCTGTGGACAGAGGAAACTCCCACTCGAAGTGGCACAGCCTGACAACCTGGGTTCCGAGATAAGGCACAATCCGTCTATAGACCTGACATTCCGACACGGTAAGCGTGGAATGGAAGTCAACTAAAGGACAATCTTGCATCGGCTCCGAGATTTCCCAATCTCGGAGCAGAATGGTAAATTCACCGACATAGACAGCAACTAAAATCTGAGTCCACGAATTGCCCGTGGCAAAATGATCAGACATATTGTTGGAATATCATTGTCAAGTTTAGTGTCATTTGAATCGTTGCCGGGCCTCCTGTTTCAATCATGCATCTGAGCAACTTATAGATGGGACTAATAGCATCGCCTTCGTCCTTTCATGTGTCATTGATTTCAGGAGTACCTGTTTGACAGGCTATTCCATTGCTAGTTCCGGAGGTATACCTGACAATCTCTTGTACAAAACCGAAGTGCTAGGAAGACATTGAGTAAAACTGAACGCTTAGAAAACTGAATTCAGGAACTCTGCGCACATGCCACCATCCTACGAGATAGGGGTGGCAGCGATATAGTTGCAGCCCTGGTTATCAAAGGGGCTACCGCAGCCAACCTTGGTATCCTTATCAATGAACATAGCTGGCAGGTTGAAGTAGCAAGTAGGAACCTTGCCCCAAGCCAAGTTGCTCAAGTCAACCTTATCCTTATCATCTCCCCCGTTGAGCGCGCAGTCGATGATGGCGCGGTAGTACGGGTCACGGTTGCCAAGTCCATACGAAGCCATCTTGTCGTAAATCTCGGACTCGACCTCAACCCAGTCGTTGTCACGGTTGGGGTTGGGGTTGTTGCGCATGACGTAGAAGCAGTACTCCTCGCCATCTCGGAGCGCCATCCACTGACGTCCCGGGGCATATCCGCAGTCCTCGCGCGACTTGACGTTGTCGCGCTTGTCGGCAACGAGGTAGAGCTTGGCAGCGCTCATGACGTCGTTGGCGACCTTGGGCTTGATGTTGTTGCTGATGGATTGGAGAGCGACAGTGACGGCCTGCTCATCGTCGTCGACGAGGAACCAGCCGCCGTTGTAGAACTTTGTGATCTTGCTCTGGAAGGTGTCCCACTTCGGGGCCGGGAGGGAGTCGTACTCGGCCTGACTGGTGCCACCGCCCGTGGCGATACGGAGGGTGTTTTCAAGAGCGCCGGTGGCTTGCTTGAAAGCATCGGCCAGAGCGGCAGAGATTGAGCCCTGGTCGATCTCGTCGGCGCCATTGGACGCGGCGAGGCCGGAGAAGATGGCGCTGAGCATACCAAAGCCGCCAGCAATTGCGGTTCCCTGTTGCAGCAATTCGTTAGCAGAATAATCGTGGAGAATATGAGAGTCTCGTCAAAAATCGGTGAACTTACAGCTCCAGGAACTAGACCTCCGATCGCACCACCCATGGAGGCAGCAGCAGAAAGCCATCCAAGAACGTCACCAGGGTCGTCCTGGTTTCCTTGGAAGTCGGTTACCATCTGACCAATCTGCAGTCCGCTGATGAGAGTCTCCTTGGTGAGCTGTCTGTTCAGCTCGTTGAACTTGGCGTGCATGCCCTTGACTGCCTGGAAGATCCAGTAGGAGTTCTTGCCAATCGGAGTCTTCCCGTATGCGTCGTATTGGGCATCGCATGTCATATCGTTCAATGGTTTGCACTCATTTCCGAGAGCTGAGCAGCCGGCGGCACCAGACTTGCCCGAGGTGCCACCTGAGACGAAGTCTTCGAGGTTCTTCACCCAGGAGTTCTCGTGTTCTGTTCACAATATCAAGATGAGCATGGAGAATTTTGTCATGACGGAACCTTGTAAACTTACCCCACTGAGACTTGATGAAGAGATCGAGAGATGCGCCAGAGTAAGTGTCCTCCCAGAGCTTGTCGGCGCCCTCGGGTGATGTGAGATCCCATCCTTTGCACATGGCATCCTTGCTGTCAAAGGCATCCCGCTTGACAGAGACACCAAGCGGCGAGGCATTGGAAGCAGCCACAAAGGCCAAAAGAGTGGCAGAAGTCTTCATTATTGATGATTGATCTTTGGCATATCAGGCTAAGAAAAGAGGGAAAGCAAGGACTATGGTCCTAAGAAAGAGTGTGATGGTTCTTTGAGGCTTGAGGCCGTCTGTGTTTGTTCGAGTTGTGGATGAGGGTGGCAACATCTTATTTAAATTGAACCACTTCGATGTGGAAGGGGCTTTGGTGTTAAGGACATCACGAGTGCTGGAGTGTCGGGCCCAGTAAGGCTGTAAGCTATAATCAGGATGCCTAGTCCATTAATTTTTGTCGAGATGAATTCTGGGGGCTGATGTCGATCGAACGTTGAAGGATCGAGCTCCTTTGGAAGAGAAAAGGAACTTTGGTAGGAACTTTGGGGTTGTGCCTGGTAAAGGATCCTCAACTTAGATTCTAGCCGCCTAGAATGCCCATGTCAAAGTCTAAAATGAAGCCATGGCTACTTTATTGAGGCCGTTTGTAAGGGATGGCACAGCTTTTGGAAGAGGCCATCAATGCAACCCGTAAGCACCAAGAGGGTCCATAAGCTAATCTCAAAGACGTGAAACATGTCAGCTTGCTCCACCATCGTGGGGGCTATCAGGGAACCCTTTGGATGTACTATGTTTTCTCAGGCAGTCAGAACAAGGGACTTTGATGTGTTTGCATGGGGCTTTCTGGTTGTTGCCTGCCACTGCCGAGATTTAATCGCAGGGCACAATGGGGTCTGATCGACAGGAACGCTATCTTGGCGACGGGAGGCGGCAATTGAACAGGCGAGCTTTTTATTCCCCGGGGCTCTTTATGAATCCCAGCCCGGCTTTCTTAGTGCTGTTGTCTCCTGACGTCGTGCATGAGAGCGCCCCGTAATATTAGGCAGCTTAGAAGAGTGCAACATTCATCGCAGGGCGGGCTATGTAAGCGAAACCGACAGACTTGATGTCGAGAACTCGAGATAAGTTATTGATATACTCTGTATGCCATCTGGCCCCCAAAATTCGATTGAGACTGCGACAGTGTGTACGGCAAAAGAGGTTCAGTGCGACTTAGACGCGGACGTCAGCAGAGCTAAGGTCAACAACAATGGCTGGAAGGATCCAAGACGCGCGCCTAGCCGTATCACAGCGAATCAGTTCACGGATTCAAGTAGGCATAAAGAACTAGGTCGCATAAGAGTTGACCATGCTCTCAATTCTTCGCATTGAATCTCAAGATTAAACCATCTAGACCCATTAGCTAGCTTTTTGAGCTGAGCATCTCCTGACCCCCATGAGTCCTCCTGAGCTCCTCTCACTAACCCCTTCATGGATATCTTACCCGATAGAGGGATAACCAGGCAGAGAAGACTGTGATTCAAACGTCTACCAACCAAATCACGGGTACAGAGCACAATACGGGCTATTAGGAAGACTTGCGGCGCTTAGAGCGTCTCTTTTGCGCTTTCCATGCAGCCCCCAGTCGAATAAGGTATCTGTACGTCACCAGAACCTCGGACTGGCCCCCTTTACCCGGCCGCCGGATCTGATGAAAGTGGAGTCGATCGCAACGGTTGACTCCAGTCCGAGCAATAATAATATGAAGGCATCAGCATTAACCAGAGTAGAGGACAAGATTCTATGTTTCTTAAACAGTTATATGAGAAGATTCTGAATCTACACGAAAGCAAGTCACAAATAAGCTTGACAGCTGGTCAACACGTTTAGAGATGGACATTTGCGCGCAGTTACTATCAAACAGCAGGTGTAACCAACTTCAGATGATCTCATCCACAAACGTGGCAATTTTCGCCAAAATTGAATTTCATGCTCCGTTATAGACTCTCTACCAGTACTCTCCTCCAATGGGCGAAATGTCAAGACCTTGACCTTCTCCAGTAGCACACTTGAAGCCAGGGGCAATCGGCTGCGGCGCAGTCAACTCGCCACCAGTGCAAGTAGCAAAGTGTGTTTCATCCTCCAAGCAGGTTAAGTAGCCCTCGGTGCAAGAGTCGGGGCCAGAATCAGGGTCGGAGTCGGAATCAGGGTCAGAGTCGGGATCAGGCGAGGACGTGGGAGTAGCGGTGGGCTCAGCTGCAGACGCATTGGGAGCGTCCGATGCTTCACAGCCGGTGGCGGTGACCGTGACTGTGATGTAAGAGATGAAAGGAGTCGGAGTGATGCCGGTAGAGACTGTAGTCTCGGCGAGAGAGGTCATGGGAACTGTAGAAGCTGCTGGGACTGATGATTCGGCCGGAGCAGTTGGTTTCATGGGGAGGGTAGGCTCGACAGGAACAGCAGTATCTGTAGGGGCTGCGCTAGGAGCCGGCTCCTCAGGCGAGATGTTGGAAGAAGATACAACGACGGAGGAGCCAGTTGCGACAGATGGTAAGAGAGACGAGCCGTCAACGACTTCGGAAGTAGGGACAGCCGTAGTAATGGGTGGTAAGAGAGACGATCCGTCAACAATATTAGAAGCCGGGACAGAAGTAGCAACGGGTGGCGAGAGAGGCGAGCCGTCGACAATGTCAGAAGTCGGAAGAGACGTGGCAACGGTACCGGCAGGCACGTCGCCGCTAGCCGGAGCCTCTACAGGAGTTCCAGCATTGGAGTTACCGTCACAGGCTTGCTTGTAGAGATTGTCGCCCTCGGGACGGTCGAAGTAGAGACCACGGTTGGGGAAAGCGATGGGTACTTGGGCATTGAGAGCCTCTCCAGTGGTGCAGCCGCCAGCGACCTCTCCAATGTTGGCCATAAAGAGCTCGGGAAACTCTTCACGCTTCGCCAGAGACATACGACGATCAGCAAGGGGTCCACGCTTCTGTTTTGTAGCACCACCACCGCCACCAGTGACGGTGATGGGGGCACAGTTCATGTAGTACTCTGGCTGGCCGCCAACTCTGGCGAGCCAGATCCAGGCAAAGACGTAGTCACCGGGTGCGATGCTAGCGGGAATTTTGAAGGGATACTTATCTTCGTTGGGACCTTCGAGGTTACCCTTTTGGTTGCGAGCTGGGCAACCGCCCTCGATCGAGTGAATCACCATCCACTTGGAATTCTTTGTCGGGTTGGCGTCGGCGCTGAGGGCAAACTGACAGCTGCCGCCTCCATGGACGGCCTGGCCCTTGAAGGTGGCCTCGAAGGTCTCGCCGATGGCGATGACTGTGGGTGCTCCGTCGATGATGTAGCTGGCCCCGGAGGGGATCTTGCATGGGAAGTCATCACCTGTGCTAGAAATGGGGTTAGTAGGGCCATCAGCAACAAACTTGAAGGGCTTGGGGTTCTCAAGGACTACGTGTCCAAGGGTCATCGATGCCAGCATCGAGGCAAGAAGGAAAATTTGGTTCATGGTAGACATCATCGTGGACTGTTGGCAAGCAATGAAAGAATTGACGAAGAATAGTGTGCCGAGCAATGAGTGGCTGGAATGTGAGAAGAAGTCGTATGTGCGAACAAGAAGAAAAAGTCGAGGTGTCAAAAGAAAGGCCGTTGGTTAGTGTGTGTGAGTGAGATGTGTTTCAGGAGAGGTGCTCATCAGGTATATGTATTCGCCGAGACTATCGGACGAGTCCCTGATCAGCAACGATGTACTATGATTCAAAGGAAACTTCAACCATTGAACATGCTCTGTCGTTTGTTACACAATAGCATCTTAGTTACTGTTTTCTCTAGCTTTATCCATTCCGTTTGGGACTCTAGACTCGTGTGCACAGAACATCAGCTCCATGGTCGACGCCGCTACCTTGTGGGGAACAAAGGGCGTGGCTTTGTCTAAGGGAAGTTGCTGCGTTAACCACTCTTTGGTCGAAGTTTCATCTGCCTTAGTTGAAATGCAACAATCACATGACAATGGTGTCCCCCAGGTTGGTATGTAAATTGTTTTACAACTGAAAAATGATCAAAGAGTATGAAGTCCGAGCAATAGGAAAAGATAAATGTATTGAGAGGTCACTGGCTGGCGAAAACCGTAGCACACAACTCGAAGCCGCTCTTTGGTACATTTATAACTTCATATCGGCAACATTGGGCAACAGTTTTGATCACTTGAAGTACCTGGGGCCGGATCACCCATTTCAAGGGCCGCTCAATACTAAAACTCAACTATTGGTAGATCAACCACATCGAAAATTCTAGGTCATGAGCACCATATGCGTTATAGCATTTGCTGAAATAATCTGTAGACTGTGCTATCGGACCTGAAAACCATTGTAGGATATGAGGCTCGTTCTAGATATAGAACAGCTATGAGTATCAAAGATGGATTGCAGGAAGAGTGGGAGGACCACTGAGTCGTTCACTCCGTGCGATGGGGCCCGAAATTCTCATCCGAAACAAGCTTCTAGGCCTGCAACCTGAGCTCTATGCAAAGAAGAGCAAAAGTGTCACAAGGAAGACTTCATATCCTGGCCTGGGACACAGTAAGAGACGGCAACACACTATGTCCACAGTGTTGACGTAGGTCCCGACGCACGATTGTGTAGAAAGATGTAAGAAAGATCGATGTAGAGGGACTAGTATACCTCGTAGGTTCATTGTTGGGACGGGAATGGGAACATCCTTGGCCAGTACTAAACAACACAATCGCCACCCCGAGTCAAAAATTATGGCCAATACCACCTGAGTATCACAACTTTGAATGAGATTTTGGGGGCTCAGACCGGGCTGATCGCAGCCTCATTGCCGTCTGGTACCCTCGGCCATACGACATCATGTGCTACATAAGGTAGTAGAAGGACCACCTTGCGTAACACTCTATCCAAATGAAAGCGAAAAGTGTGACTAGGCTATGTTCTTTCATCCACTTAAGATTACCCATATCGTGTTGTGCCAACCAATCTAGGAAAGTGGGAGAGGGCGAGAGTCCGCAAAGCCTCTTGAAGATCCTCGCAGTCAAATAACCCCCAGACCACTTTGAGGTTCGGTGTAAGCTTGTATTACATTGGCTTGCATGAGCTGAGGCCGAATTCTCGGAATTCATGTTGGCTTTGACAAGGCGACTGGCTCGGTGAGCGTGAGTGCCACGGTAAGACGGAAATCGGACGTTACAGGTGGTTACAATCCCTGTTCATCATAGTTACTTCATCATTTGATATACCTATCGATAGAATCCATGGAGATTCAGAGTCATTATTCGGGGTAACACTTCAAAGTTCACGGAAGTTAAGCACAATTCAATGCCATGGGAATAAGATACAATTTATGTCTTGGCATATCGTGACTATTAAGATTGAAGCAATTTGCCTCAGGTTCTTTCATTTGGCTATATTATAGGCGTCGAAGATATTTTACAAATACGCTATCGCTCTTAGCTTTCTTTCCAGTAGTTATCATGTCGTGCCCGTCAGAGACTCAGCTGCCAAGGATTATCAACATAGGCGGGAGACAGAATCGCGGGGTTGCTCGCAGAAATTCAAGCTGCTAGAACACGCAGCCTGTGCTGCCTCTTGTTGTGGCATGACGGTGCTCCCCATGGAACTGTGGCAGTGGCGAAACTCCCACTGGTCCCTCGTCTCTCTTCTTCAAGTCGTTCATTGGTTCAACGGTTTTTCACCAACATCTTAATTCATCATCTTGCCCTCTATCGGTTGTCACGCTCGCCGAACTCTACAATCTGTTATGGGTATAACGTTTCCTCTGAACGAACTTACCCAGTATTCTAATATCATGGAAGACTCCGCAAGCGTCAACTGTGGAGAAACGAACGTCTCATCCTCCGCGTCGGAAGCCCAGCAAAACGACACGGCCGATAGCCTCATCGGCGATTGTGGCTCCGACAAGAAGGACGGAATCGCTGCTGTGGAGGGCCATGGTATTAGGGGAAGAGACTCCGCCAACGGAATCCAGCAATTTCTTCTCGATATTATCATCATAATTCCATCAATCTGCTTCATCATTTACGGCTTGATAGCTCTCAGACACAATGATCAGCCGATCGACAAGGACCCAGTTCCAGCCTTACGCGTGACGGCTACGTATAGCCCGACAGTTTTCCCGATCGTATATGCCGCCATTACTGCCAATTTGCTGAAGGCTGCAGCCGGTTGGAAAATGGAGCGCGGTGTCACAGTCCTCAGTCTAGAGTACCTACTCAGCTGCCGTACCGTCTTCAGCGCCGTTACAACACCTTTGTCCCTACGATGTGTGAACATCTTGTCACTCCTACTCATAGCTCTCTGGTTCATGTCTCCTCTAGGAGGCCAGGCAGCTCTACGTATTATTGATGTGGTCTCGTCTCAAGCATCAGAGTCCTATCCGTTTGAGTGTCTCGAGTTCATGTCCATCTTTCCACACTCAGGGCCCCAGAGTTCGGCCGGAAACAGCATATTGCCCTCGATTCAAGGAGCTTTTATCTCGGCCTTATCTAGTCCCAAGGATATCAAAGCTGGACCTCGAGACGCGTTCGGAAATGTCAAGATCCCCATGCTCGAATACTATCGGCAGACATCAACAACAAAACCTGATGCCGGCGGCTGGTACAATGTCAACTCCAATGATGAAGATAACGTTTGGTCAGCAATTATTGGAATTCCAATTGCAACGCAAGGTGGTTTCTCCCAGGGGCAGAACTATTCTTTCACCATGACGACGGCTTATATGAGCGCAGACTGTTCAGTACAACGTGGAGAGTTAATGACTTATGGAATGTGGTATGAATACCAAAGTCAAATCCTTAAGAGTCAAGTATACGGTGCTGGCGGAACATTAATCATCAAGAGCGACGGACTACACAACCAGCTCAGCAAAGACCCCAGGCATCTGATACTCACGGCTTACTACCCGACGAACGAAACAAACACTAATGCTACATGTACTCTCGTAACGACGCACGCCGAAGTCGATGTTGCGTGTCATGGACCTCTCTGTGGTGCCCGTCGGATTAGGCGAATCGAGAAGCCGGCCAATATGACAGTGACGACGGTATTGGATGGGGTTACAGCGGAGGGATACCACAAAATCGCACCGGTGGGAGTGTTTGACTTCTTCATGAAAACCCTGATGCGGGTCACGTTGACAATATGGCAGGGGGAGCGTGACACATTGTACAAACCGTTCCCTTCGCCTTTAGAAACGTACTTCACCTACCCAGACGCCCCCTTTTCTGCACCAGGTATTGGTTCTTGGAACGGAACTGATATTTACCAAGTCGGAGATGAAGTGGTCTCCCAGAGATTTTCCCAGCTGCTCAACACTTTTTGGCTTGCTTCAGTGGCATCTCGGAACATCACCGGGAACTTCAACTTTCGGGCACAGACTCTGAATCCGGGAATCGAGAGTACGCTCATTCAAAACATTACAGGTACACGAACGCCTGATGAGTTAGTTATGAGGGTCAACGAAATTTGGATTTCAATCCTATTCATCACCTCGGCCATCATGCTAGCTTCAGGTATCGCGGCTAGCATCTTCAGCTGCCTGAGACGAGGCCCTGATGTACTCGATCGAGCTACGTTCTTCCTGAGGGACAACCCACACGTCAAAGTCGCTCAACAGAGCTCCTTGGAGGATGGAACCAGCCAGGTCAAAAGGGTTAAAGGAGTGCGAGTTTGCATCGTCGATGTTACGCCTTTGGAGGAAACTGGACATGTCGCTTTTGGCACGGTCGGGGAAGCCATGCCATTGAGGTGGCAGGAAAAGGAGAGGCGCTATTCTTAAGATTTAGGCCCGAGCCAAGAGCAGTGGTAATTAGAATGCGGCGGGATGCCAGATGTCTCTCGAGTCTCGTGACAGCTAGAGCATGCAGTTATATAAAAGTCAGTGACCAGTGTCGTACGGATAGTGTTAGCTTTCGTATCACTCAGAGCCGCTTTCCACGGAGCGCCTTCACTACCTAAGGTAGGTGCTAGAGGAAGGGACGGAACCTTAAGGTGCCCGTTCTCTCCCCGGTCCCGATCCCCAGACCGCCCCTGTGACCCTTCTCCGTGCACCTGCGGAAGAAATGGAACCTCGTGGTGGTCCATCGCCAGTCCCGGTCTACCCAAAACACTGCTCCCCTACCCTGCCGCAGTCCGTAACTAGAATACTAGCGGATACCTTGGGAACATAAGAGATGTAAACTGCAGAAAGTCCGCCTTGGCTCGCCACTTTTTTTTTTTACACATGAGGCGAGGCAACGCTATTCTATATACAAAGCATCCTCTCAGTCAGGAACCAGATTTGAACTGCCCGCTAATCCTTCAATCCGAGGGGAGTTCTTAATGGGGCATCACGGAAGGGCTTGTTTACAAACACAAGTCAATATTAGACCTCAACCAAGACCCTTGTTCGTGCGCACTTCTCTCTCCTTGGCACTGGACCTGAGTTACGATTTTCAGGAACCGGAAAAGTCATCAAGCCTTGCGACGCGCTGTCAGTACCCTGAACTGGTCATTGGTTTTGGAGGAAAGGTGTCTTCTCTTTCTAGTTGTTCTTCACCTCTCCGAGATTGCAGGTGGCTGGCCGAAGACACCTCTGACTGGATTCGAGGTACAAGTACCTTGGTACCTAAATCCGCCTCAATATGTTGACATGACATGTTATAGCCCACGATGTTTCGTCTCCGAAGTATGAGAAACCAAGCAACTAAAATGTGTATGTACTGTGACATGTCCATCGCCAATAAATGGTGTGGAACAAGCTTGAGTGGCGTGCCTGATACATATCGTACTGTAGAGGTGTGTTAACACAAGATTGTTCACAATCTCAGTGGGTTTTCCAGGCCCTGTGCCATCACCGCCCTGTCATAGCCACCCAATAAGCGTGCATAAGCGAGATGGAGGGGAACATTGTCGTTTGTGGGTGATTACGGGACAGAAACGTGTATCTTTGTATGGGCTGTGTGCAGTGGTTGTCAAAGTCCTCGAACTAGTCCTCTTGGCACTGGTGTCTGATCAGCAACTCAGTATCGCCCAGAGCAAGGGACGTTACCCTTTGTTGGAAAGATGGCGCAACCGATTTCTGTAAAGTGAAGTCAATATCAACTCTATGTAAGGTACACAAGCCATGCCCCCCTCGAAGCATATCATCTCAAGGTAGCCTTTTTACATGGAGACATACCACAATTCGAAGTTTTCAGCGTCTGTCCTCCCGATAATGAGCATCTCAACGGAAGTCATCGTTGCTCTCGTCGCGCTTCTCGTCGCCCTCCCCCCTACTTTAGTTGTAGTCTATCAATGGGTTCAAGGACAGAAACAAACTCTCACTCAACTCCCAGGTAGTCCCCGCCCCCCAACGCACGTGCATGACTTCCTGCTATAGTCCCACTGGTGTTGATTTCCAAGGCTTACTTGTGACGTGTGCTGACAGCCCTTGATCCAGCGCCAGCGATTTCGAACTTGAGACGATTATCGTGGAGGCCAGGCGGTGATGCCCCGGCCGAGCTTTCACTACTTACATCTCGCAACCTCGACGGATCGGAATGGTATTCAGTAACACGAGAGACATACAAGTACGCGAGGGTGACATCGGACCGCGCAAGGTCTTCTTGCTAGCACCTTCTCGACTTGCGTGCATCATCAAATTTTTGAAGTGAGGTGAGCCTGGCTGCCACGGACCAGGTTACGGTGCTTTGACTGAGGCACGTGGGGCCGGTTCGGCGCGCAACCGGGCTGCGCAGCGGGGGATTGCTAGGTGATTCGGAGTTTCACCACCTAGTATACAAGCTATGCGCGAGATTTGGTTGCAGGGACGTCGAACGGGCGATTTCGACGTTTGTACCTGTTGATCGTTCTCTCTGTTATTGCCATACCCTAATGAACATGGTCAATGTCTTACTTGTGCTCCGAAGCTAGCCCATGAGATTTCGTCACAATGGGCTTGTCGACGGAGGCTATGATTGCCATCATCGCCCTGCCTGTCTCCCTTCCACCCTCCCTGATCGTAATATATCAATGGGTGCAAAGAAGAAAATTTCATTATACTGGACTCACAGGTCAGCTATTTGCAGTCATACAGTTTTTCCAACCAAACCTGTGGGGCCTGGGAGTACATTTGGTCGTTGAGGGCTAACAAGTCATACTGATTTAGCACCAACAGGTTCCGTATTGGCTCAACCCCAACCAACCACTGTGGAGAACGGACCCCGTCGCCTCACTTATAACCGGTGCTTTTGACACATTGGGATGGTATTCCATAACACGTGAGACGTTCAAGTCAGAACATACGCAATTAAGGTCAGATATATCAAGGTCGCGTGGAGCGTCCGCTTGTTAGCAACCAAGCGTACTGACTGTGCCACTGAGGAGCTAGACAGGTGTCAGTGCCAGAGGTGTCAGAGCCCGCCCGGATAAGAGTGACTTAGAGGTAGTAAGGGGTCAAGCAGCAAAGGAGCAGCTCAGATATATGTACAACGCAGAGAGTACACGTCGAAGGAGGAGTTGATTTCAGTAATTCATCCTTTCACCCCTAATTGCAGTTGGCCTCTAAGAGCTTCCAACCTGTGTCACCACCACTACTTAATAACAGGACGCTGTTAGTTCGGAGCACTCCTATAACCTCTTGTTCAAATCCTCGAAAACTGGACAACTTAGAGTGTGACGGATGTAATAGCCATCGAGGTAGGGTTCGATACTGTCTCGGATATTTGCATTCTAGGCCAGGCACTTTAGGTACGGAGATTGAGGCTATTTTCTTATCTACTTTTCGCAGTCACATTACTCCCTGCATGCGATTCTCCCATCAACGCGACACAGATATTCGTTCAACTTGCCTCGCCTTTCGACCTCCAAACTCTCTACCTAACCTCTTTCAAGTTTTAAGTCACGAATTTGCCTCATCGAAATACCCTCATGTTGAAATGGGTTTGCGCTTTGTTTGCATCAGACCCTGGTACCGCCTAAGGCATCGTCAAATACCTCAAAATTGCCCTCATTCTTCCGATCGTAAACCGCAAACCACACCTCTTTCCACCAACCACCCCCGAACTCTGCCTCCCCGAGCACATCAAGCCAGCACTTGACGATTTCCTCTGGAGGGTTCCTGAATGCACCGCACCCCAACGCGCCCAGCACAAGCAGACTGTGCCCTCGACTCGCAGCCATCCTTAAACAAAGCCTCATCTTCGCCATCGTGAGCGTCCGGTCGGTTTCCTTTGCAAACTCGTACACCTCCTCGTCCCCTGCGGACGTAGATATTTTCCGCTTCACAACATCTGGTCTCCGAATTGCCGCAATGCTCAGAACGCTCACCACGGGTAAATCGTCATACGCGACCCGCGGAACAAGTAGCTTGTGACCGCTGGCCATATCACTCCGGATGACAACAACGTCAGGCGTGTAAAGCCCGCCACGGCGCTTGAAGGGATAGTACCGCTTATGCAAGCTGAGGTACAGCGACGAGCGATAACACATGGCCTCCTCTTGTGCGATAGCGCCCTTCAACCACCCGCCGCCGGCATGAATGTCAGACGCCATGTTGAGCACCGCTACACGTCCGCCATCAGGCCGTCGCCTCGCGAGTTCGATTGCTGCGTTAAGTGAGTCTTCGTTGACGATCTTGATCTTTGCGCGCGGCGTGTGTCCTGGGCAGGCTGAGGTTTTCAGAGGCGGGAGGTAGTCCAGGTGCAGGTCTTCTGATTTGGAGGCGTTGATGTTGGGGAGGTGGGGGAGGATCTGGGGAAGCGCGGAGCGGGTTTCTGCTGCGACGGCAGCGAGGGATGGGCTTGAACGATCTGATGGTTTTTGGGCGGGTTTTGACGAGGATGAGGGGCCTGGTGCTGATGCTGACTGCGGGGAGGGCTGCTGGTTTTGCGGGCGAGGTTTCTTCTGTACTCCGCCGCCGTTCTTAGAGAAAGAGAAGTCGAAGAGATTGCTCTGCCGCGACATCGTGATGCATATGTGGTGTTGAGGCACTATAGGAGTGATAGAGGTTGATGAAAGTCGTGAGACGACGAGAGAGATTGATATGTTGTCACAAGGTTGGTGCCTAGCGTTAGAATGAGATGGGATGCGCCTAGAAGCGAGATCCTGACTGCGGGGTCGCTTGTTGGTTCGGTTGGTGCCGTATGTGCCTGGAGATCTCTTGCACCTCGGGGATGAGCAAGGATGCGCGTACTAGTTGACGAACTACCAAGTAAGGCAAGATATCCGTATAGGTAGCAATTGCGACAAAGAGTTGAAAGGTGAGGTGGAGTAGAGCTCAAGGGGATGGGGAAAATTAGGTTGTCGACGGCATGTTGAAAGCGTACCGGCTTACCGGGCTGACTCACTGACGGCGGTAGGAAAGTTCTCTGCGACAGTTCGGACGCACGTGTTGGGCCGCCTTAAGCCGTTGCGACGGAAGGTGCCTTGGGAGTCAATTGAAAAGACACAAAAGGTAGGAGCGATGGCAAAGCAGATGGCGATGGGTGATCCATATCATCGCGCTTGAGTCTCTTCATGGAGAGTCTCCGTGGACTCTATATATATATATCAGGGCCGATCGTTGGGCATGGGTATCATTTCAGATTTTATCTATATGATTTATACATGGTATTACAAAACATTACATCCTTCAATGTGCCTCTGATATCTCGAAAGATATCTTCAGGCCTTCGTCTTGATGGCTCCCTCAGGGATAACATCCTCAGCCTCAAACTTGCGCGGAACAAGGCCCTCGGCCATGTCAATCGCGCTCTGCATATCATTCTTGTTGAACAAGAACAACCCCTGGATCGCAGCCGTGCTTGTGAATCGGTTTGCCGTCTCTCCTGTCCCGTTGCCGAACAGACCCAAGTCCTCCAGCCTCTGCAAGAAACGTTTCCGACCGGCGCCGTCTGTGTCCACGTCGCCGTAGAAGCGATCCCACATCAGACCAGCCTGATGTTTAGTCGCCTCCCCAATGCGCATCATCATGTCCACACGTCCAGGTCGAATGAGCGCCGGATCGAGACGCTCGATGTGGTTCGTCGTCAAGAACGCAATGCGCTCCTCGCCCGCTGCCAAACCGTCGAGCGCGTTCAGCAGACCAGAGAAGGTCACGCTGGCGCCGCTGTAGCCATCGGCATCGCGCTGCCGGCGGTTGACGAACGCAGAGTCTGCATCCTCCAACAGCAGAATACTCCGTCGCGGCAGCTTCGTCAGAAGGTACGCCAGCTTGTCGTCCGTCATACCCATCTCACTGAGGTTGACCATGGCAACGCTAAAGTCCAGCTCACCAGCAAGGGACTGAATAAAGGAACTCTTGCCGCTGCCAGGGGGTCCGAACAGCAGGTATCCACGACGGTAGGGAATACCGCGGTCGACATACCACTGCTGCCGCCCAAGGAAATCTTTCACATCGTCAACGATGCCCTCTTTCACGCCCTCATCCAGTATGACCGAGCCGAGAGGTCGCTTCTTCCGAGGATCACCGAGAGGCGCCCACTCCATGCCCCTCGCAGAGTATACGACCGTCTTGCCCTCGTTCGCCTTGGCTGCAAGCGCGTGTGCCTCGCCAAAAATGTCCTCAAAGACGTGACGGTGCGCCCACAGTGTCGTCAACTGCACAATCTCATGCGGCTCGCCCGTGTTCATGTTGGCGGTATTGTGCTTCTCGCGATTGATTGCGATAAACGCATTTTTGTGCTTGACGATGTGCCGGCCGTAGCCAGGCTGCAGAAAGAAGTGCGCATTCGTCGGGCTGTTTGCGCCTCGCTGCGTTGTCGTTGTCGTTGAGACGGAAAGGTTGTGGATGCGGGTGATGCGCGAGGCGATGAAGCCGGCCTGTTCGCGTGGCTGCGACAGCCACGCGAGGATCCATGGGTAGGCTGGGTCCTGCTTGCTGATCTCGACGTTGACAAGGAGACGACGGCGGGCGGCTCCGGCTGCGACAACCACGCCTTTGCGACCGAAGGCTGCGACTGCGCCTAGACTTGCGAGGCCGATGCCGCCAGCGAAGAGGGGGTTGTTGAAGAGGGCATCGAGGCTGAGGATCGAGGTTGGGCCGGACGATGCTGCTGTTGGAGCTACTGTCGGAGCTGCTACCGGCGCTGCTGCCGGCGCTGCTGCCGGCGTTGCTATCGGTGCTGTCGAAGCTGTGGTTTCGGTCGAGGACATGATCGACAACGGTTGTGGTGTATTCGCATCGCGCGATGTTGAAGTGAGCTTTGGGAAAAAGGCTCGGGACGAATTTTTGAGACGGAACGGGAGCTTCTGCAGGGATGACGCAGCGCAAGCTGCTGAGGAAAATCCCCGGGTCGCTGGTTTAGGGGCCCGCCCCTGTAGCAATCCCTGCAGTCCTACCGTTCCTTCTGGAAGGAGTTGCTCGGGGTTCACTCGCCCGACATGCCTCAGATTCATGATTCGTAATGTCAGAGGAATTGCCATCATTGAATCAGTCTTGCACTAGGACGGAGACGTTTTCTTAAGCCCTACGATGAACGATGCGCCACAGTTGCATCCTGTGGTCCTGTGGATGTCCTGCAACGCTGTTCAAGATACCGGACAAGACCACTAAACCTCTACTGCCGTGACCATCAACGTCCGACCGTTGGTCGATGATGCCGGTATCTTAGACGGACTCTAACTCGGTGCCGCGTTAGCAAATTCGGATCGCATTTCGCGGCTGTTGCCTCTACGGGAATCTAGCAGCCGCATCTTAGTGCGAGACAAAGCAGACCGATGTCGTCAGACGGCTTGCCCGGGACGGGCCTAGAGCGAATCTTCTCTGTGCCGTGAAACCATCGAGCGCGCTATTCAAGCTCTTGCAGCGCCCTAGAGTTGCGGTATGCGCTTGACTCTTCGTTGCTCGATCGATAATCGATTGACGTCAACTTTCTTATTCAAACCGCTCGCCTAGGCCTCAAGAAACTGTCTTCTCGCAGTCGCACGGAGAGCTTGGCTTGGGCTTGCGATCCTTCAAGCTCTTACTCTGTCGCTATAGCTTTGGTCTTTCACTGGCAGAAACTCCGTCGATGGCATCACAAACAACCCCTCGCTCCTCGCAGGAGACACAAACGCCTACATCCGGCCAAGACCACCACCAGCAGGACCCCGATAAACAAGAACCGCCATCAGGCGGCGGCGATGAGTGTACACAACGCCCGTCAGGCAATCATCACGAGAAACATGAATCGAAATGGGATTGGGAAGCAGACTCGCATAACCCCATGAATTGGGCACGCAGGTACAAGATAAGACAAGTTGTCATGCTGTCCCTTGCTGCTTTCACAGCGTAAGTTATCCGCCCCTTTTGAATCCTAGAAGGGGCAGTGGACTGACAGCCCGACAGAAGCTTGGGTACTTCCATCATCAGTCCCGCTCGTGCCCAGCTCGTAGAAGAATTCGGCGTGACCATGACGCAGGCGATCGTGCCTTTGTCTATGTACGTCTTCGCTCTGGGTCTAGGTCCCGTCGTCGGCGGTCCATTATCAGAGACGGTGGGCCGGCACCCGGTCTATCTCATCAGTCTTCCGCTGGGTGGCCTCTTCACTATCGGTGTGGGTTTCTGCCATAGCTTCGCTGGAATCTGCGTCTTGCGATTCCTCGCAGGGTTCTGTCTCTCCCCCAGCTTGGCCATCGGGACAGGAACCATCAATGAAACGTACAGACTCTCAGAACGTGCGCTGCCCTCGACCACGTACATCCTGATGCCGTTTCTTGGCCCAGGACTTGGGTATGTCTGCGTCATTCTTTGAGCTATCTGCGGCTACTGACAGTTCAATAGTCCCGTGATCGGAGCCTTCGTCGTGAACCGCAAGGACTGGAGATGGACGCAGTGGACGCTACTCTTCTTCATCATCACCGCCATGATATCTAGCTTCTTCAGCAAAGAGACCTACCACCCCGTTCTCCAGCGTCGACGTAGGGCGCAACTGGGTCTTCCTCTAGACCCGCTGCCACCAACAGGCGAGCGCATCAAGAAATTCGCGACGACGGCTCTCACACGCCCCGTCCGGATGATGATCACCGAGCCCATCGTCTCTTTTATTTGCCTGTACGTGGCGTGCGAGTTCGCGACCCTCTTCTCTTTCTTCGCAGCACTGCCGTACGTGTTTAGCACCGTGTACAGCTTCGGCATCGAGCAGCAGGGCCTAGTCTTCATCTCCATCGCAGTTGGATGCGTCCTAGGAGCATTGACGGTCATATTTTGCAACAAGGTCATATATATGCCGAAGACCAAAAGGTATCCAGCCCATCGGACACCGCCAGAGTACAGGCTGTACCCGGCCATGTTCGGGAGCATTGGGTTGCCGCTGGGACTTTTCTGGTTCGGTTGGACTGCGAGGGAGGACATCTCATGGGCTAGCCCCGTCCTCGCAATTGTGCCGTTCGCGTGGGGGAATATTTGCCTCTTTGTCAGTACGATACAGTACCTGGTTGACGTGTATCAAGGAACGACTATTGCCAGCGCCGCGAGCGCAAATAGTCTGGCCAGGTACCTGCTGGCAGGTGCTTTCCCGCTCTTCATCGTTCAGAGTAGGCATTCAAGCTCCCCTTAAAGAGTTGCGCACAGTGCTGACATTATTCTCCCCAGTGTACACGAACCTAGGCATCGGGTGGGCAAGCAGCTTGCTGGGGTTCATCGCTCTGGGGCTACTGCCAGTCCCCTGGGCCTTTTTCAAGTTCGGCAAAGCGATCAGAGAGAAGAGTAGCTTTGATACGGTCAAGTTCTGATGGGATGACAGAGATGTACCTGATAATGAGAAGACACATAACTTAATGACACAATTGTTCATAACCGACCACATTCTGACGTTGCAGAGGGAAAAGTGACAGCTCGGGCTGGCCCGAAGATAGGGATCGGCGGCGTGGAGCAGTCTTCCAGCCGGGGAAATGTCCGATCGTGCCGATGTAACTGGGCCCTCCCGAAAACGGGAGTTTGGGGGGGGGGGGGGCTGTGGAACCGAAACTTGGGACTATTTGGGCGTTGGGAATACCTAGCAACCAGGATGCCATTGAGCAGGGTTCAACATGACGAACCAAGCGCGACGGCGTAAAACAAAAACAGGGGCATTTGTGGAGGGGTTATCTCTGTTGGTTGGTATCGGGATGAGGGGGAGGGGAAAGGAAGTGCGTATCCGTATGTCGTCTTTATCTAT